ATCAAGACAGAATTTTAAACTTTAGCGATCCGACGGTACGATCTCAGAAACCGCTGTATCCAGAATGCGAGAAGAAGGGTAGCTGGAAATGTGCGCCGCGCAAGAAGAGGCTAATAGGAAGCGCAGAGAAAATGTTAACCATATCCGTGTGTATGTCGCAATCAATTTGCTAAACAAAGTATTCGGTTTGTCTATTTAATTTGCCTGTTTAATTCTCTCGGATAACTTTTGATATTGAAGGTGATGAAATCTATACGATCGATTGGAGCTGCAACGACACGATTGCCGTGGGCTTTGACATCATGGTGGAGATACACAAATGTAAAAACGGCGTGATGTTGTCGTCGTACACTGCTGAATCGCCCTACAAGAATTATATTAAAACCATTAAATTTAGCAACGACGGTGAGCAAGATGTCAAACGCGAAGTGATGACTGCAATTTTTATAAATCGTACACAAGAACAGTTTCGCTGAAGGATCTAAAAATTTGGCCAGATGCAGATCTAAAAATAATTTTATTAGACCATCAAAATAATTATGTAAGACATTGAAATTGATTACTACATTAAAAAATTACTAATATTAAAAAATTTTACAGTAATATCATAATGCTTAAGTGTCTTAATAATTTTTATGGCTCAATGAAATTATTTTTAAATCTGTATCTAATCAAATTTTTAGATCTTTTAGCAAAACTGTTTTTTTCCGTGTAACATGTTTTTGTCTTACTTTCAATAAAAATTCACTAGGAGTAATAACAATATTTTCTTACGCTTTCTGAATTATTACGGTCTATTGAAGGATAAGTAGAAAATAATTATACAATGTATCCTAACGCGAGTCATGATTTTAGGCAGTAAATTGGCGATGCACTTCCGCTCTTCATACATCTCGACGCTCATGCTGCACGATTTGGAGAATAAATTCTTGTGGGACACTTTTTGCAAATGTTTCGTCGAAACCGTAAACTATTGCACTGTCATTTGCATTTGCTGGTCTGCTTACGATCGTCATATCCTTACGTGAATATCAATCTTATGATCAATCCTTTGAAGTTTTTCGAGATTTAATTTAATGAAGAATAAATATTGGACACGATCGGAAAAGATTAACTTATTAAATTATTTATATTTCTCGATATTTTTTTTTCTATTTCTTAAACAGTATAAAATACAAAATGCATTTAAATTTAGCTTTGTTTAAGAAATGCAATCCAAAAACAAAGTAATATTGGTGACTTTCCTTTAATATTTACAAATAAAGTTATATTTTGCATATTGATACGATTAAATCAATTATTTGCTAATCAAATAATTAAAATCGCGCAGTAATAAATAGCTCTCATAAAATAATAACTTTAAATGGAAATACAATTAAAAAAGATAATATTATACAGCGGATGCACTTGTGGCAAGATATCGGCATACGCGTCTGATACGGGTAAATGTCTGTGGTCCAAATTAGTGCACACAGCCCCCATCTTGGTCTTGAGTTTCTCGCCGAATTTCAAATATCTAGTGTCGAGTGGAAAGGATAAGATCGTCCGAATATTTTCCTGGCCGGAGTTGATCCCTTGTTTCGATGTCGAATTCTTCAAGATCGTAGAGGTAAATTGGTGAAAGACGCGATTGTAACAAAAATTCGAGAATCTCACACAGAAAAAATAGTTAGCAGCTATATCAAAGTTCTGTTTCAAAATAATCGAATCAGAAATTCCAAAGTTAAAGTTATCAGAATTCAATTTAAACTAAGACGAGACTTCGTGTTTAATTTAAACAGAAATCTTCACAACTTCACTCAGAATTTCTGACTTGTTCATTATGAAACAGCATTTTGATACAGCCAAACTATAAAATATTTGTTTACAGTAAACACGAGTTCGTCTACTACTAGGAATTAGATTTTAAGCTTAGAGATTGATGTTAATTGAATTAATTTAAATTAGAGACTAGTGTTAATTTTCGCGACTGACGTTTTTCCAACGACGAGCTGTAAAGATGACAAGAGAGTAAAGTGCTCGTACTTGACAGGCGGTCGCCTGGCATCCGCATGTGTCTGGTCTGCTTTGCATAGGCGGAGGGAGGAACGGATCGTTGTCATTATGGAACGTCAACAATGCCACGATGACGGCCTATGTGACGCCCAAGTTCAACGGTCACGTGAAAAATCTCGCTTGGAATAAGTTGAGCGGCGAGCTGGTCGTACATTGGACTTACAGAGAGGGGAACAAACGATGCACCATCGTTCCTGTGCTCGCCAATTTCAATCGGATCGTCGATGTGCTGCCACTGGATAATAAAATCAACTTCTTGCGATTCAACGCCACGCACGATCAACTGAGTATGTATTCCGTTTTCTTTTTCTCTTTCTCTCTCTCTCTCTCTCTTCCTTTTGGAGAAATTCGAAAAACGATTATGGTGCGTTCATCATTGATGAAAAAGTTTTCAACAAGTGCCCGACTTAAAAATTTTTCGGAGGATATTGTTCGCTTATATTATAGAGTAAAAATGAATCTTTGAAAAAAGAATGTGGAAAAAGAATTTATATTTATTAGTGAAAGAAAATTATTGTTTACTTAAAAATTACAACTAACACACTTTCTTTAAGGTTGTGAAAGATTATAAAGTTAAAGTATGTTCTTCGCTGCAATTTCAGTGTAGATTCTCGGTATTAATTAATTAAAACTTTTCTGAATAAATTGCTGTGCAACTGCACTTTTTTGCTCCAAAAGTAGAGATAATTTTACGAAATCGATTAATTACATCGAGCATAATTACATACATAGGATTTTCCAAAGTGTAAATTTACGTTTATATCAAGAAAAGTAAAAAAAGATGTACGACATAAGTGGCTCGGAAGATAAAAAAATATTTATTGTTTTTATTCTTGATACTGTTTTTAATTAAAAGTAAGATAGAAAATAATTCATTTAATTTCATCGCGTTAAAAATTCCTCTGTTTTGAAAAACACTCCTCTCCAGCTGTATTTAAACGTCTGTGATTACAGTAACGTGTAGCGGTACGGTCTTTTCAATATGGAATTTTTTTGGCAACGAGAAGCCAATTCAAAAACGGTGTGTGCCTCTGTACAATTCCACTCGGTGGAGACAAGGAGTCATCGTCCATAATCCGATTCGATAATTATTTGTATACTAAGCGTTTTAGATGATATCTATAATTTGTAATATGTATATAATTTTTACTAACACGATACATTTTGATATATCATTTCGTCTATGTGATATTAATACATACAAATTTTTTAACGTATACGTTAACCCATAATCATTGTGCTTTGTGAATAATACTGATAAGAATATATATATATTGGAATGCGCGCGCGCGCGTGTGTGTGTGTGTGTGTGTACATGCTATTCCAAGTGGATATATATATATATATATATATATATATATATATATATAAAATGTAATTTTATATATGTATATACAGGATGTTCCGCGAGAACATCTTCTGCCACCGCTCGTAAAAAAATAGATGGGACCGAGATGAGCACAAAAGTCCCATACCATTTGTGATATTCGCAATAATAATCGAGATATTAATTATTAAAAATCACCATATTAGTCTGACAAATGCAAATGATAAGATACTTATAATTTTGCTGATATCACTTTTATGTGTCTCGCGGAACACCCTATATAAATTACAAACTCTAGAACACATTTGTGTCGATGTGTTCAAATAGATTCACGCTTTATAAATTATTAAATGTATTTTCACCAGTTCCCATTATTAATGTTAAATGATTCGCATCAATTGGATAATTAATTACATTTTTTCATAATAAAAATACCATTTTATTACATTATAAAAAATTCTACAAAAAATCTCTAATGCTAATCTCTAACGCTAATAGTTCATAAACTTTATAATCTGCATAATATCGTCGTTTTAATTTCTTCATTGATCAGAATTTTAATGCATTCAATTTTTATTCACGAGGAGACGGTGAGTTACGAGTTAAGGAATATATTATAAATTTTACGATTGTATTGATATCGCACGGAAATGGCATATCAAAATACGTTATATTAGCGAAAATTTATGCGATGTACCGTAATCAAATATGCTCTCGTAAAATTACAAATAGGTATATCGTAGATCGTAAAAGAGTTTATCCCGAGTTACTGCTGCAATTAACGCGACGCGCAGCGTCGGATAATTGCGGTTCGCTAAATTTAATGGCGTTTAAGATCCGTTTAGAAGCGTTAATTTAGCGACGCTCGTAAAACATAACTTCGCGTCCGCGCCGCGGACAGTCGGCTTATCTTGCGATAGATCGACGGGAGCCCGCTGTGCAGCGAGGATTCACATTGACGCGCTCGGAAAAACATCGATTGGATGCAGTCGCGTCAGTCAGCTTTTTGGATTACTCCGTGTCGTTACGCTCGATAGAACACGAACAACGATCACTACTGCGCAGTCACGTGGAAATAGTAACAAACGTATGCTTAGAATGCGAAAAAATGCGATGTGTAATTATTTGTTGCAAATTATTTGTTGAAAATGTTGAGTCTTTGTCGATGTACGTAAAGTTGCGAGTATATTTTGTCACATCAGTTTATTATATCAAATTTTTTATTATGTTAAATTTATATGTCAAATGTTATCGTTTTTTTTTTTTTTATTTATTTATTTGACGCATCAGACTTTTTTAGATTAATGATGCTTTTGATAAATTTATTGAAATTTCTTATTATTACTATTATTATCAATGATAAAATATAATTAAAAGAAAACTTTTATGTTTACTTTTTTAAAGCTGAATGCTAACACAGTAATCTTAGCTTAGAAAAAAATTTGTTTCAATTTTAATTTTAATTTGCAATTTAGATAATATATTAAATATAGAGAAATTATTATACTATGAAATTATTATACTTTCTTCAAAGAAAAATTAATTCAAATGAAACAATTTGTCGTTAAAACATATTCATACTTAAGTAATATTGTTACTCTATTTATAATATAACAATTATTACGTGAAAGAGCTTTATATATTTATTTTATTATTTTCACATAATTAAAATAATATGTCAAATTATTAGTCATTATTTGTACAATAATTTTTATATTATGTATTATTGTGAAACTTTGTATATTATAATATAACAATGGATATTCGAAGAGATATTGTAATGTCTTCAGTTCTAATAAAAATCTAGAGATTTATTCAACTTTCTCTGATTCTTTTAGTATGTTTTATAATTAAAGACAGATCTGTTTTGAAGAAATCTCATTACATCGCTTAATATACTATTTCAAAATTATCAATATTTTAAAAGTTAAAATAATGTAATCAATGATGATATGACAAAGTTGAAATTTAAAAAAATGCTCGATTTATTAAAATAATTTATATAATTTATTTCCCCATTTTGAATTTATTAATTTTGACATTAAATTAATATTTTGCAATCTAAAATTTAAGTTTGAATAATATAAATAAACAATATTTTGTAGATATTATATTAATCAATAATTAATCATGAATAAATTTTATATTTACGATCAAAACAAGCAGCTTCTTTTAGCTGGAGGTTTTACATAATAAATAATTTTGATTAAGGCACGCACACGTGGACGCGCTGACGTATCAATGACCATGCGCGCGCTGTCGCGCGGTTATCGGCGATATGGTGCTCGTCTCAGCTCGTCCAGCCACCCACACGCGACACACGCTGACACACGCGGCAGGAGGAAGAGATCGTGAGAGGGGAAGGGAATACACGCGAGGAAACACGCGAGCACGCGACATGCCACGGAGGGAACACGCGCGATTTCGCAATGCGCCGCGAGTGCAGCTGCGGGTCGCTCGCGCGTTTGCTCATCCACCCGTTCATCGTTCTTCAGCATCCGGATTCCAACGCGAGGAAACCCCGAACGAGTCGGACAGAAGCCGTCTTAGAGAGAGAG